AGGAAATTGGTGTGCCAATGTTCCTTTTAACTTTATGCTTGCTTGTCAAGCTTTTTTTTGTTTTGCTTTCATAGCGGCTGTAGAGTATTACCTGGTATTATCCATTCTGTATACTAAATGTTTTTCATCTTTTGTAGGTTGTTCATGAGACTCATTGATGATTTCTTGTTGGTTACACCTTATCTAGAACACGCAAAAACATTTCTAAGGTACCTAATACAATAAACATTTGCCCAAATCTGTGTAAGATGTTTTGTTTTAAGATGTGTATCAGAGAGGGAGATACTTATGGTAAAAGAAATGCTGTTGCATTGTTTCTAGTAATGGTAAAGATACTCTAAAACTTTAAATGTGTTTATTGCTAGTAGCACATGGGGCATATACATTTGTGGGTGTTATCAATTACCCAGAGAAGTTGTTTAGGTTTTCATGTGATAGTTTAAACTGGTTCTGTGTAAGTGAAAATTGGTATAGGAGAAATGGCATTGACGTGACAATTAAAATTGAAAGTACCCAATGCTATGGCTCTTTAATGTAAAAATAAAAATGTACAGCATCAAGAGTATTATTTTTATATATATATATATATATATATATATATATATATATATATATATATATATATATATATATATATATATATATATATATATATATATATATATATATATTCAAAAATTGATGGCTGCACTCCACGGTCTTCTTTTAAAATCCAAGATACTTTATTAAATATGCATTAAAAAACGATCAACATTTCAGCCCGTTTCTGGGCTTTCCTCAGGATCAGAAAATTACAATGATGTGAAATTCTAACAATGAATCACCTTATATACCATAAGTGCAAGTACAATTAAAATAACTTACCCCAGCTGGTGTATCCGCTCGCTCGGCGTCCCACTGATCGTTGTGTGCATGTGCACAACCGGCCAATGAATATCAATGAGCGGCATAACGATGTACGCATTTGCATGGCAACCAGAATGCTATGCCGCAAAGCTATAGCAACCAGTGGACACCGTGTGGGCAGGACACACTAACACCAATCGGATCACTCGATCAGTGTGTTGGGGCTGCAGACATAAAGAATGATAAAAATGGATACACTGACAACTAACTAGTATGTTAGTGTAACAATGTAAATATACACAGTGAATAGAGAAAGATACTTAAATATATATATATATATATATATATATATATATATATATATATATATATATATATATATATCATATTATGTACAGATCAAAATACTCCATTATTTTAAAGATACACTATTGTATAAAGAGGTCAACTATAATCTAATGATTCTTATGATATAGACCTACAGACCGTAACATTCTTCTCCATGCCCAAAGTGCACATCCTTATGCGCTTAAAAACTCTCTACCTAAGGCACATTTTTTACGTGTTATAAGGAATAATTCTAACATGGATATGATGGAAAGACAACTAAAGGAAATGCACCAGAAGTTTCTCAACCGTTGCTACAAAAGCAATATCCTTGAGAAAGCATTAAGTGAAGCCAGAATGGCCCATGCACCTCGGAAAATCGAAGTCCCACAGAGAATGCTATTTCCTATGACGTTCCACCAGCATTCACCCTTGATAGCTAAAACTATTAGGGATAACTGGCAAATGGTTTCCACAGACAACACACTTCCTAAAGTCTTCAAGGAAGTTCCTCTTATCTGTTTCAAAAGGAATAGGAATTTAAAAGACATGTTGGTACAGACAGATCCTGTCAAGAGCTATACTAAAACTACTAAGACAACTAACTGGGGATGCGTTCGATGTCTTGGTTGTGTTACGTGTGGACATATGCTACAAGGAACATTTTTTAATCACCCTCATACCAACAAAAACTATGAAATCAGGCACACTATTACGTGTAAAACATCATTTGTTGTATATAAGTTGTCATGCCCATGCAGTCTTAACTATGTGGGCAAGACAGACACTCCTCTATGCAAAAGAATATGTGGACATCGTTTGAGTGTCCGATTGGCGTATAGAGATGGCGCTTCAGATAAGCGAGTAGCTAAGCATTTTTTGGAAGCCCAACATCCTTTGTCACGCAACTTTGGAAGAAGTCTTCTCCGTCCCTAGAATAGACCTCCTCACTGTGTTCTGAACCTTCCTTCCTGTTTAATTTTGGTGCTTCTACGGGTCCCAGGACAGGTCAAACTTGTCCAAAGTTGCGTTCCAACTACACAAAACCGGAACCCGGAAGTGAAAAACGACCGGGAATGAGGAATCCGGAAATTAGGAACTTTGGAACCATTTAAAACAGGCAAGAAGAAGAGGAGACACAAACAACCAACTGAGGAAGCCCATTTAAGGGCGAAACACGTTTTGGACATTAACTTGGACATTTGTAACTGGTATTTATTTCTATTTTATACCAATAATTTTGATTATATTTTTTTTTACTAATATGTATTAGGGATTACCAATACAGTCATATATATATATATATACATACACACCAATTAATATTGGGAGCCTTGGAAGATTAATACTGTTTTAAGGAGTGGAAGAAACCAGGTTTCCAGCAGAACTGAGAGCAACAGAAAGGATTGGGCATCCTGGAATTGCCCACAAGTGCTTACCATCGGCGTCATATGCAGTTTATGACTCCTGCCGTGTGAGTGAATCCATATATGCCTTCCTATTAGACCATATTTGCTATAGTAATATTGCGCTATTTGTGTTCTGTATTTATATTTTTAACAGATATTTTCTGAATGTGTACACAAGAGGCTCCACCTTATGTATGTATGTTTTTCTATATATCTTGTAGAGGTGGTTTAGGGAATACCACTCAGGGTGTTTGAGCTTCACTTAAGATCTTGTTAAACTCCATATTGTGCACTGATTTATTGATTCTCACATATATGTTAGTCTACTTATTGTGGTTACAATACCCCTCCCCTTTTTTATTCATCTTTTTTCACATGTACATTTTAACTTGATCATCAATATTTTTTAGTATATATCATGAGATTATTTTAATATCATAAGAATCATTAGATTATAGTTGACCTCTTTATACAATAGTGTATCTTTAAAATAATAGTACTTTGATCTGAATTAAGAAGAGTACTTTGATCTGTTCATAATATTTATATATATATATATATATATATATATATATATATATATATATATTTAAGTATCTTTCTCTATTCACTGTGTATATTTACATTGTTACACTAACATACTAGTTAGTTGTCAGTGTATCCATTTTTATCATTCTTTATGTCTGCAGCCCCAACACACTGATCGAGTGATCCGATTGGTGTTAGTGTGTCCTGCCCACACGGTGTCCACTGGTTGCTATAGCTTTGCGGCATAGCATTTTGGTTGCCATGTGAATGCGTACATTGTCTTGCCGCTCATTGATATTCATTGGCCAGTTGTGCACATGCACACAACGATCAGTGGGACGCCGAGCGAGCGGATACACCAGCTGGGGTAAGTTATTTTAATTTTACTTGCACTTGATTCATTGTTAGAATTTGACATCATTGCAATTTTCTGATCCTGAGGAAAGCCCAGAAACGGGCCGAAACGCTGATTGTTAATGCATATTTAATAAAGTATCTTGGATTTTAAAAGAAGACCGTGGAGTGCAGCAATCAACTTTTGAATTTATACGGTTTCCAGCCAGCTGGCTTACGCACCTGGCACTACTAAGGATAGCGTGATTGCAAGGAACCTTTCTGTATTTTATATATAGATATATATATATATATATATATATATATATAGATATATATAGATATATATAGATATATATATATAGATATATATATAGATATATTTATAGATATATTTATATATATATATATATATATATATATACATACACACACACACACACACACACACACAACATAGGTCCTTGCACTCATGCTTAAAATGTCCTACTATCATACAGTGGTGTAGTTTGCCGGGTGCCAGTCCTTCTGGGGATCTTTGATAAATACCAATTTGCAGAAATGTATGATCTCACGGACTTAAAATTTCAATAAAGGTGCTTTATTCCATTAAACAAATAAATTGACGTTTCGGTCCGCACAGGGACCTTCCTCAGTATGAAATGACACAAACATCAAGTGCAAATAACACTAAATAAATAAATATATATATATATATATATATATATATATATATATATATATATATTTGTGTTCGGGGCATTCTCATATGATATAGAATAAGATGGGTTGTAGAGATGTAGCTTTAGGAATATTCGGTTGAGGTGTGCCGAAACCGACGTATGCTGTAGGCCGTTAAAAAGTGGGCTTACATAGAGGAAATATGAACAATGGGAGTGGAGGGTGGGGCTATTTGTCTGACCAACAAAGGTAAGTAGGGAAAGGGGGGAGTCCCTTTTATAGGTCTATAGCCCCTCCCACAACTTCAGGCCATGCCTTCCAATTTGTGTTCGGGGCATTCTCATATAATATAGAATAAGATGGGTTGTAGAGATGTAGCTTTAGGAATATTCGGTTGAAGTGTGCCAAAACCGACGTATGCTGTAGGCCGGTAAAAAGTGGGCAAAAAAGAGACATATTAATGCAAAACATTATACAGGATCATAGTGCATTTGTTAACCATCAGTTAGACATTTTAATGAAAGTGTCCTAATTCCTGAATCGGCTGTGGTATGTACGTCATATAAGCCTATGATTCCCAGCGGCCCCGTGTCTTAACGTGTGCGGGGATGTCTTGGCTATAGGCTGTGTAAGCTGCTCCTATCCTAAAGGAGTGCCCTGAGTAGTCGCTAGGGTTTAGTTCGAGCCCAATGAATGAGTAGGTGGACATAGTGCATGAACTTACCTGTGGTAAGGACAGTATCGTACACCGACAGCAATGGTTCAGTGGTGCGTATGGTGGCGTGCCCAAGAACCTAATCAGTACCTTAACCGGGCACCCAGCATTGCTTGTAAGGTAGTAGGTTATATGCACTGGCTCGCCCCTCTGACTCATCTTAGGAAGGGACCGGACATAGTGGTCTGTGTGTTTTAGAAGATAAGCGGTCAACATGCACTCTTGTTTAAGATGTTGGCCGCTGATAGTGAGTTATTGTTTTGGCCTGAGAAAGCCATTAAAGGCTAGATAGGTAGCAGTTTTGATAACTGCATTGGTGCGTGGCTCGGAAGTGCCTGGTCGAGTGGTTCTGTCATGGTTTGAACATTGTATGTCTATGGCCAGTATTTAGTTTTAGCGGGAACGTCCGCTTGGCTATGTCTCTAAGTAAGGTATGTATGGGGTAGGAGGATAGGAAGCCTTGTTGTTTGGGATGGAGAAATATGTATAGTGTTGAATGCCAGTGAGATAAAGTTTAACCGTGTTGTGCAAGAATTATTAACTTAAGGTGGCAAAAAGAGGCGAAGGCCATACGTGGTGAAACCTCAAACCAGCTATCTAAGTGATGGTCCGACATGAAACGTATTGTATAAGTGGAAAACCCTGTAGCAAACGTGTTGAGTGCTGGTGGACAAGGCCAGTTTAGTCAGAGCCCGGCTATGTTGGCGAGGTTCATGTAATCCATGACCTTGACCATAAATGACCCTCTGCCATGGCGGCTGTCACGGCAGCTGCCACAATAATTTACCATTACGTGTGGTTAAGAAAGTCCACCATATGTGTAGGTCTGCCATGGCTTGGTTGTCTAGGGACAGCCCCTGATCATCATTTGGGAGGGAGGAAAAAGCAAAGTGGTCTGAGATGAAAGCGCAGCCTGCAGTACGATGCACATGGCAAAATTTAAGGAACCTGGTAGGGATTGTAGTTCCATGTGGTTGCAAGTACCAAGCAGGAGGTAGTAATTTGTGTTGTTGCGACTGTTCCTATTTCTCACGTGGTAACTTGTTGGTATGGATGCCGAGTCAAGTTGTATGCCCAGGAATGTAACGATAGTGTCTGGGTCTTCTGTGACCTTAGGGAATACTGGGACACCCAAGTGTTCAGACATACTAATGGCTTCCTTGAAGCTTCTAGAGGGAAAGGCATTCCCTTTGACCAACAAGAAATCATCTCGGGAGTGTATGACCGTGGGGCATCTGGATATGTTTAACCACAACCAGTAAAGAGTTCAATGAATATATTGAAGATTGTGTGCTGCTCTTGACCCGAAAGTTAAGCGTGAGAAGAAATATATAACTGCTGCCCATAAATGCCCTGTAAGTGCCAGTGCAGGGTGGATGGTGGCAGTCTGAAATGCGTTTGTGATATCAGTTTTACTTAACCAGGCTTCTTCTCCCTGCTTGAGTGATAGTTGTCATGGTATGAACAATGGTGGCATACTGTAATGCAAACTCCTTGGAGGGTATGAGGGAGTTGAGATTATGGGGTAGCCGAGGCGTGAGGTGCAGATAAGTCTATGATCAGTTACAGTGTGAGGGAAGATTCCCTGTGACAATCCCAATGGGATTGCGCCACACTGTAAATGATGTAGATCGGAGAGGCCCAGGTAGAAATATTTCTGCCATTTCTTGGCCATGAGTGAAATGCCAGCTGTTGGATGCTGCTGTGATGACTGCAAGTTAGGGCATTCTAGATTCCCCCAAAAGTATATGGCAATACCTGAACAGAAGGCCTTTAAAATCGGAGATTAGGAAATAAACTAAATGTCTGGAAGGGTGATAAGTTAGAAAGTACTGGAAATGCATAATGTTTACAGACGAGAAGTAAGGTTCAGGGTACATTTATTGGGACACATGGTTTTTGCATGTGCCCTGACATATTGGGGACATATCTGCAACAGTCTGCATGCACTGAAACTACATGTGCCAACATGGAAATTGTTGCAAATCTTGGATTTGCCAAAGAGAATGAGATGACCCAATTTGTCTGGTAGTTCTTTACGTCCTACCAGAGGTGCTAGAGCCTGGAGCCTGAAACGTGATCGTCCGCTGTGTTGGGACAAAATTGTCCTGTGGGACTAGCAATATCTCCAAGTGAAAGTGTGTTGACTCTAGCTGGAGTGTTAGGTAGAGAGAAATCCTTACCACCTGCTTGATACATACTAAAAAACATGAAGATAGCCATTATTATATGAACCCACAGTGTGCTAGTACTGGCTTGCTAGCTAAAGCCGCAAGATGAAACAATTAACCCTTTGTTTGGTGACAGGTGAGGCCCTGCTAGTTGCCAAGTTTGAGGCTCTATCTATGCAATGGAGCAAGGGGATTTTTGTGGCCACCAAACGTAGTGGCAGGATGTTGGCCTCTCGGTGACTGTAACCATAAAAAAGGGGAAGGGAGTGACAGGTGAGGCCCTCTCTATATACCATGTGAGGCGGCTAGCTCACGAGTGGCCCGATTGGTGTTTGCCTCCGAGCGTTGAGGTGGGGTGTTGGCCTCGCGGGACCACTATACGACAGGCGTAAATGCCAAGAAAGGAAAATATCTATTGGAAACCTATAGTCCCTAATTGCCAGTACGCTAAGGATATACCCAGGGGGAAACAGAAAATGTATGTATATACCACATGAGCAGGTGTATGTACCAGGTAGTATGATTAGATACCCTTATTGGTCGTAAAGGTTATTAATACCTGTATCCCAGACGGGTAAAACAATGTATGAAAATCGAATATAGACATTTAAAAGCGTATATCCATATGTGTGTTATGCAAGTTCCAATGTTTATTGTATGCTTGTAATGCACCTGTTTGAAGGAAATTAACTTGTCGGGAGTGTTATATCATGTGTGATATGGAACACAACTGTACCCCGAAACATGAGTGTAGTGAACCATGACTGGCAGCTGAATAACCTAATAAGTGAAAATACATAATTGGAAGGACTTATATTTTAAGCGTGCAAATATACCGTATTAGACTCTGGAAACCTGCATAGTGCTTTAAATAGTATGTGCATTCTTAGGTAAATGTATGCGTATTGTCAGTAAATGTAACTAAATGCCAATGAAGGCAGGTATGCAGGAATGATTATATCATAGTAAGCATGATTTGTAAGGAAGTGTTATTGTGTAATTATAATTATAGTGGGAATGTTATGAGGGGAATAACCATATGTCTGAAAAGCCTGTAGTATACCGTTTGACAGATAGGAGTCAGTATAAAAGTGAAAATGCTGTAGTTAGTTTGTTTGCTTATGAAGTGAAATAAAGTCTGAGAAGCCTGTAGTACACTGAATGACCGGTAAGGGTCAGTATGTAGGCGAAAATGCCGTGGTTTGTTGGTTTGTACATGAAATGCAATAATGTCTGAGAAGCCTGTAGTACACCGAATGACCGGTAGGGGTCAGTGTGTAGGCGCAAATGCAGTGATTTGTTGGTTTGTACATGAAATGCAATAATGTCTGAGATGCCTGTAGACACTGAATGACCGAATAGGGGTCAGTGTCTAGGTGAAAATGCAGTGGTTCGTTGGTTTGTACATGAAATGCAATAATATCTGAGAAGCCTGTAGTACACTGAATGACCGGTAGGGGTCAGTGTGTAGGTTAAAATGCAGTGGTTAATTGGTTTGTACATGAAATGCAAAAACGTCTAAGAAGCCTGTAGTACACCGAATGACCGATAGGGGTCAGTGTGTAGGCGCAAATGCAGTGGTTCATTGGTTTGTAGATGAAATGCAATAGTGTCTGAGATGCCTGTAGTACACCGAATGACCGGTAGGGGTCAGTGTCTAGATGAAAATGCAGTGGTTTGTTGGTTTGTACATGAAATGCAATAATATCTGAGAAGGCTGTAGTACACTGAATGACCGGTAGGGGTCAGTGTGTAGGTGAAAATGCAGTGGTTTATTGGTTTGTACATGAAATGCAAAAACATCTAATAAACCTGTAGTACACCAAATGACCGATAGGGGTCAGTGTGTAGGCACAAATGCAGTGGTTCGTTGGTTTGTACATGAAATGCAATAATGTCTGAGATGCCTGTAGTACACCGAATGACCGGTAGGGGTCAGTGTCTAGATGAAAATGCAGTGGTTCGTTGGTTTGTACATGAAATGCAATAATATCTGAGAAGCCTGTAGTACACCGAATGACCGATAGGGGTCAGTGTGTAGGCACAAATGCAGTGGTTCGTTGGTTTGTACATGAAATGCAATAATGTCTGAGATGCCTGTAGTACATCGAATGACCAGTAGGGGTCAGTGTCTAGATGAAAATGCTGTGGTTCGTTGGTTTGTACATGGAATGCAATAATATCTGAGAAGCCTGTAGTACACCGAATGACCGATAGAGGTCAGTGTGTAGGCGAAAAATTGTATGTTGTTTGTAGTTTTAACCCAACAGATTTTTAACCAAAACAGATTTTAACCAACAGATTTTACATAAACAGCTAGGTGAGTATAAGGTAACGAAATAACCGTGCAAAACGAAAGGAAACCGTGCTGTGTTGAACGCCGTCGGAACTAATCCTGGCGCGACAGGTGGGTCAACTTACGGTTTGAGAGTCCCTGAGACACCAAATGCGACGCTGACCGGAGAGAAAGCCACTGGATTAACGGAAATCCCTGCTGCAGGATTCCTGGACACAGCTTGGAGTAGGAGACCTCATGGAGCAAAGGTGAAACCAAAATGGCGTTGTGTATGACCTGGAAGTGGATCTCATGCAAATGCTGACCTTGAACAGTCTATTCGTCTGACCAACAAAGGTAATTAGGGAAAGGGGGGAGTCCCTTTTATAGGTCTATAGCCCCTCCCACAACTTCAGGCCATGCCTTCCAATATATATATATATATATATATATATATATATATATATATAATTATATCAAAGTGACTTACCCCAGGTGTGATGCATAAAACTCGGTGTTCCCATTTACTCACCACGCATGTGCGGAAGTAGAATGACTATCCTTTGACCCGCATTTGCTACGTTGTGACGTAACATGACGCTGTAACCCTGGTAACGTTGTCAGCATCCCCATAGTAACCGCTACGGGTAAAGTTATAATTAGGTGCCGTCTGAGTACTAGCCATAAACAAAAGTGGAGAAAGTGCCAAGTTAAAAAAGGTATATGTTCAGAAAGATAATAAGAATAATAAAGAAGATATTCATAATATAAAATCAGTGAATCTAAAAAGAGCTAGTGTTCTAGCAAGCAGACAATAAATGTACAAACAATCTCTCTGTGACTTATTGAACAAGGCTGCAATTCTATAATCTTTGGGTATCCTATACCTTAATCATCAGTATATTAAACTGTACATTAAACTTTAATGTCTAC